TTGCCGGCTGTGCAGGTCCGCGGGAGGGGGGGCGCGGGCATATGCAGGCCTGCCCACAGCGCGAGGATTAGGGTATTCGGCCGGCCCCCTCCTCCCCTCCCCCCCCTCCCCGGGATCCCCCGGGCGATCGCCGATTCAGAAAGAAACGGTCTCTTGGGTGTGTCTCTGTTCGCCCCATGTCGGGGGAGCGTAAGACCCGGGTTTGCCAGGACTCGGGTTCGCCATCGTTTTTTGACGACCGCGCCTCGGATTCTGACGAGGAGGAGTTTCGTGGGATGTCTGCAGCGGGAGGCCTCGTCACAATGCAGGCTCGGCCTCGCCATTCTTTTGACGACCTCGTCGGGGATTTCCGAGTCCCCTGTGCCCAGGTCTTCCGTCCCCCTGACCATGGGCCGTCGAGACGCTGCCCACGACACGCGAGCACCGCCTCCCGGGCCCCGGGGTGGCGGGCCCGGGGTGCTCGGGCCGGTCCCCCCCCCCCCGCGGCTTCTGGCTCGGCGCCCGTCCTTTCGGCCTGGGCCCGCCGTGGCCATGGGCGCCGTGTTCGTGCCCGGGCCCCGGGCGGCCCCGAGGCATGCGTGCAGGGCGGGCCCTGCCAGGTCGAGGGCAGCCTGGTGATGTTTCAGGGGAGGGCCGTTTGAGACGCTGGGAGTTGGCCTTCGGGGGGACCCCTCGTCGCCACGGCTGGACGCAGCGTGAAAAATGAAGCCGTTGGGACCTCAGGAGGGGTCCGGGGACCGATTTAGAGCCGATTTCGAACTGTCGGTGTCTCAAGTCGCTGGGCTCCGAATGTTCTAGCCTGCTTTGGCCTCGATCGCGAGAAAGCATCTCGAGTCAAGAGCATCGAACCTCAATGGTTTTCGCGCCGTCGTGCCTGAGTGCAGTCCGTCCCGGGACGGCCCGAAGAGGCCAACATCGCAGAGATGTTCGTGGTTTTTTGTTCATGTTGTTGGCTTCTCGCGTTTTTGAGCTTCCAATTGTCTTTCTCGCCTTTCCTGGCCTCGTGGCCGGTCCGCTTGTCGTCTTCGTCGTCGTCGTCGTCGTCTCATTTTCCTCCTCCCCACGTTCTCGCCGACGTGCCTTGGTTGTGCCGGCCTCGGTGCGACGCTGTAGCATCGAGGGGCCCCCTTCCCATCAGTTGGGAAGCTGGCGATTTCTTGTTTCAAGTGCGCATGGCCCACACCCACGATCCGAAGTTAGTTTTTCGTGACGCAGGAGCGCCGAAGAGGCTCCCAAGACCGCCCCAAGACCGTCCGTAACCATTTTAGCTCAAGCCGCTTCGGCCCGGCAGCGACCCTCGGAGTCGCCAGCGTTCGAGAAGCTCGCGCAGAGGCAGCTTTGAAGTCTCCTCGCCGCCGCGATGCACGGGGGCCGCGCCGCCGCCTGCCTCCTGCCACTGCTGCTGGCCACCGGGGCCGCCGGTGACGAGACGTGCGGCGCGGGCGAGTGTGGCGCCGACGAGGCCGCCCTCTTGGCGCGCAAGGCGGACGTCCACAAACACGGACAGGGCGCAAACGCAACGGGCACGATATGCGACGCCACCGACGTGCCAGGCCCGATGGCAAAAGGGTGCAGCTGGATGAAGACTCCTCCCGGACACGACTGCGCACAAGCCACCGAGGGGGCGTGCATGCGCCGGGACTACAACCTGTACAGTAACGGCTGCCCGATTTGTCAGCCGAGCCCGTGCACCAAGCGCTACTGCTTCCACATCGTTGACTTGCCGGGCAACAGTTGCCAGTTGATGTACAACAGCGGGGACGATCGCCAGCAGCAGACGCCCAGCGCTACCGACTGCCGCAATGCCAACCAAGCAATTTGCCCGCGCCTCCTGCCGCTAGGGCCGTTTTCTGTGAGGCGTTGGCCACCGATCCGATGACCTGCTTGCATGTAGGTTTGAAGGGCCGCTCCTTTGCTCTGGGTGACCCCCAGTTGCAGAGGCTTCTGTCGAGACCCTCGACCGCGGCACAGCCTTCTTAGTTCGTTCCCTACGTGGCAAAGCGGTACCGCGCGCGACGCGGTTTCGAATGCGTGGCTCGAGGTGCTGGCCATTGGTTGCGACGTCGACTCGTCATCGAGTGAAGCGCTCCCCTGCGATTTATATACGCACGTGGAGCTGCCTACCAGTGGGCGCCAGCCATCCATTCGGAGGCAGGTCCTTTTGTTGACGCGCGAGAAAGACAGCGCTCAGGCGGGGGACCCCCGCGTCGCCGCATCGTTGTTTCCGCGCTCCATCGTGGAGAAAAAAACGCCCCAAGACCGCCCCGGAGACCTTCAGGACGGTCCCGAGACGGGCCAAGAAGGCTCCAAGACTGCCGACGAGGCGCCCAGGACGGCCCCGAACCGCCCCAGAACAGGCCCTGATTAGTAGGTCGACCCTGCCAAATCAAAGGTACCCTTGTGTCCAATGCCTCCCACATTCCTGTGGCAATGTGGCCCTCGGAAGGGTCTTGTGTCCCATCGCGTGTTCTGTCCAACCAAGTCCGACTGTGCAGTCGGGGCGCTGAAGAAGGAGCCTTTTTCGTTCGGGAGGGGCTCCGTGTTCCTTGGTTGTTTGACTGTTTGCCTTAGTTTGACCTTCGGCGTTCGAATGGAAATCGAGTTAAACTTAAAGAAAGAAGGAGCCTCGTTCCTTATTTATCGTTCCTTGGGTCAACGCCCCGACTGTATGCGTTCCTGAGGGTAGCACGATGACTGTGTGCAGATCTTGCGCGCACGTCGGGGTGCACGCGTGGGCGCGCTCCCCTGATCGGCCCGATGCCGCACCTGTCCGAAGCAGCGCGCGGACCACGGGAACTCCACGTGCGCCAGGGCTCATTTCGACTCCTCCGACTCGGTTCGGTTCGAGGTCGATCTATTCCGATTCCGAGTCGATCATATTTCGGATTCCGATGTTGATTCTGGTTTGTCATCGGAGGCCTCGTTGGCCTGTTGATGTTCGCCGATTAGGCGTGTCCCGATTTGGTTGCCGATGTCCGCGGATCCGATCCGATTCATTCCGATGGCCTATCGGATTTATCGATTCGATGATGGGTTCCCTTGCGCGCGGCGAGAAGGAGCATGAAACGAAAAAGGCTGAGGAGGAGAAGGGGTCAGAGGCGAATGAGGCCTGGTCACTTCACCAAAATATACCCACAGGTTATAGATCTCGCATGTGCGGAAGTGAGAGGGGCTGGTCTGGGTTTAGGCGCGCCGCGTTGATATTTTGGAAGACGTCTCGGGGCGATTGGTCGCCTGCAGAGCCAGAGGAAAGGAACACGTGGAGACAGAGCGCGATGTGAGAAACCGGACGACGCGCATGAAGAGGAATGTGTTCGTTTATTTCTTATTTCGGATGTCGATGAAGCGTTGAGGAAATGTCGCCGCAGCTCTCGCAGCTCAGTCCAAACAAAGTAATTCAATGCTGAGCGTTTGGTTTGCGTATGGACTCACTGCGTCTGGACTTAGCCTCTCTTGGTAGGAAGCCACGTCCATACGGAGTACATCCGCACGGAGTGCCCGGTCTCCGTATGGACTTTGTCCATTCTGGACTTAGTTTCTCCTGAAGTTCCCCCGCACCTCCCCCCCAAGCCCCCGCGATGCCGCACGGGTCCTCCTTGGCCAAACCCCTTTTCCCTCAGTCGGAAGTCGATACGCGTGACGATGTTTGCCTGCCCCGAGGCAGCAAACGTGTGTCGGCCACGCGCAGAGGGGGTAGTGGGAGGTTTCTTAGAACCAGCCTTTTTCTAAGAAGCCTTCCCCCCTCCCTGTCCCGCTGCGCGCGCCGCCCAGTGTGTGCGATTTCAAACGGATTCGCATGAGCGGAAGCCCTTCACTCCGATACGTGACGTGGCCTTCATGGGCGAGAGTTGGATACACATGTGGCCGCGGGTCTTTCCAGTGTTCAGCCCTTGCATGGCCAGGGTATCCTCCACATGTGTATCCAGCAAGCGGCCTCCGCATGTTCTGCACGTGAATCCAGCCATGTGTGTTTCCAGCTTTCTGGCACCCAGTGCGTGCTTTCCAGATGTGCAGCATTTTGAACCCCCATAATGCATGGCTTGCTTGGGCAGACATCGGGGGAGGGGGGGCAGGGCAAGGATCGGGACGGACGGCGGGGAGGTTAACGAATCAGCTGCGCGCAGCTGGGTTCCCAGGCGACCAGAGGCGCCGGGAACGACCATTCATCGAGGGAAGGTCGTGGTGGTTGGGCCGAAACCAACCTGCACAGCAGACCGCTGGCTTCCGCCCGCCACACACGCGAGTTACAGGAGGAAACCAGCCACCCAGGAGGCGTCGGGAAGGCCGTCGCGAAGTCCGTCGGGAAGGGCATCGGGACGGCCGTCGGGCGGGGCGTCGGTGGGGCCGTCGGGAGGACCATCGGGTAGCGCGTCGGGAAGGCCGTCGGAGGTGTCGTCGCGAAGGCCATCGGGAAGGGCGTCGGGGAGGCCGTCGGGCTGGGCGTCGGTGGGGCCATCGGGTAAGCCGTCGGGAAGCGCGTCAGAAAGGCCGTCGGGGAAGGTCGTCGCGAAGGCTGTCGCTAAGGCCGTCGGGAAGACCGTCGGGCTGGGAGTCGGTGAGGCCGTCGGGGGGACCATCGGGAAGGCCGTCGGATAGGGCGTCAGGAATGATGGAGCTGGGTGTCGGTGAGGCCGTCTGGAAGGCTGTCGGGTAGGGCGTCGGGAATGCCGTCATACAGGGTCGGGAACTGCGTCGGCGGCGTGATCGCGCCAATGCGCGCGGCGGAAGCAGCCCCACGTGCTGCCTGAATCCCAGCGTGTCGCACCAGCTGTGCACGTCGGCCTCCGTCTCGAGTCCAGAGCGCCTCGCCGCCTCTGGAGGGGCGAGCAGGAGAAGGGGGGGGGACGCCGAAGGGAAGGAGGTTGAGGAAGGGGCCACGGAGGATGGGATCGGTGCGGGGGAGCGCAGCAGGATTCGGGCACAGTGGCCACTTCTGGCCCGATCTCCCGGGGAGCTGCCCCCCCCCCCGAAGGCGCCCAGGCGCCGGGCCCCTGCAGCGCGAGCGCCCCCCCCCCACGCAGGGGCGCCGGGGCCGCCGCGCCCCGTCGGCCCATGGCGCGGGCGGGAGCTCCGCCCGCGCGCCCGAGCCGGCGGCGGCGCCCGGCGGACGAGTCCTCCTCCTCCGCCTCCTCCTCCTCCTCCTCCTCCGCCTCCTCCTCCTCCTTCCCTTCCTCCTCCTCCTCCTCCTCCTCCTCCTCCTCCTCCTCCTCCTCCTCCTCCTCCTCCTCCCTCGGTCCTCCCGAGTGGCCGTGGCCCTGATCCGGGGCGTGGCCCGCCTCCCGAGCGGCCCGGCGCGCAGGGCCGAGTGCGGCGCCCGGCGGGCCGAGATCGCCCGGCGGCTGGGGGAGGTGGAGCGCGCGCTGGAGGCGCCGGCGCCGGCGGGCGCGGCGCGTGCAGGCCGAGCGCCTGCGAGCGAAAGGCGGGCAGGAGCCCAGGCGTTCGGAGGCCTGCGCGGATCTCTTGGATCGGCGCCTGGGCCCCGGCGGAGGCGCCTCCGGCGCCGCCCCATGGTGCGCCGCGCGCGTCAGGGAGGGGGCCCGGCGCAGATCCCAGAAATCCGCGCGCACCTCCGAAAGTTTTGGTTCATGCACTTGTTGGCTCCCCCTGGGCCGAGCAGGTTCTCGCGCGGGCGCGCTGGCCCTGGCCCTTCAGAGGGTGACCGGCTTCTGCACAGCCGCGAGGGCTCTGAGGACGCTGGACGACCACGAGGCGCCCTGCGCGGAGTACGCCGAGTTCCTGGCGCAGCTTGCGCTGTACAGGGAGGGGCTGGCGCGGCTGTGCCGCGGCCTTGGGGCAGCGGGGGCGGTCGAGGAGTGCGCAGAGCCCGCCGCCCGGCCGAGGTGCGAGGAGCAGCAGAAAGGGCCATCGGCGTCCTCCTCCTCCTCCTCCTCCTCCTCCTCCTCCTCCTCCTCCTCCTCCTCCTCCTCCTCCTCCTCCTCCCCCTCTCCCTCTCCCCCCTCCTCCTCCCCCTCCCCCTCCTCCGTCCGCCAGCGTGGGCCCTGGACGCTGAGCTCTGGCACTCCGGATGTGTGCTTGTGGCAGGCGGTGCAGACGCTGTGGTGCGGGCTGTGTGGTGCAAGCTGTGGTGCAAGCTGTACAGTCGGGGCGCAGAAGAAGGAGCCCTTTCCCTTGGGGAGGGGCTCGGTGTTCCTTGACTGTTTCAGAGTTTGCCTCCGGTTTTCCTGAGGTTTCCCATGGGAAATCGAGGTTGAACTTGTGGGAAAAAGGGGCCTCGTTCCTTATTTGGGGTTCCTTAGGTCAAGGCCTCGACTGTACGGTGGGGTGTAAGGCGTGTCTGTGTGGTGCCGGCTATGCGGTGCAAGCTTAAGGGTGCAAGCTACGTGGCTCTCTCGTGCAAGACATGCGGTGCAAGCTTCAAGGTGCAGGCTTATGTGGCTCTCTCGTGCAAGATACGTCCTGTAAACCACGCGGCGACCACGAGCGTGCGCACGGTGCGCCCGCGAGGCTCCCACGGCCGTGCACCAGTCGACAACTTTCAAATCCTTGCAAGCCCTCGGAACGCGCACGAGGCGCCCATGGCGGGGGCAGCAGCTTCAATCCTGGAGATCGTGTCTCTTTGTCGACGAACACAGTCGTCGGAAGAGTTGTAAGAGTAGTAGGTTGGGGGGTTGGGGTTGGGGACGGAAACGCGGAGGAGGGAACAGAGGAAGAAGAAAGGAGGATGAAAACAGGAGGAGGAGGAGGAGGAGCAACAGAGGAGGAAGAGGAAATGAGGCGGAGGAGGCGGGGGAAGAGTAGAAGGTGTACAATGATATTATTGTTGCGGTGGGTTTACGCTTGCATTCCTGTTGTATTGGCTTTGCGATTCGGTTCTTTCTCGGGGTAGTTCCGCGTGTTGCCGTTTTGTTGTTCAAGCTATTAATTTCTCAATGTTTTGTCTCAGCCATCTTGTTGGGTCTTCAATGTGAATCCACACCGCCGCGCTCCACTTCCCGCCGCCACCCTTATCTTGCTTTTTCCTATTGCTCGTCTCCTGCCTCTGCTCTCCGCATGTGTTCTCCGCGCCTATTTAGACATACCTCTCACACGCTTCGTGGCCCCGTGGGGGCTCTGCCGAAGGCCCAAGTGGCAAAGTTCGCATGGCGGCACCGCGCCAATGTTGGCAAATCACTCACACGTGTCGTGGTTCCCTGGGCAGTTCCGTCGCATGCCCCAGTTGTAAAGTTCGAATGGCGGCAACGCGCCCATGTCAGCAACCCCCTCACGTGTCTGGGCCCCGTACGGAGCTCCGCCGGAGGCCCCAGCGGCAGAATTCGCATGGCGGCGCTGGAGCCCAAGCGCATTTCGCACCCTCTTGAAGCGCCCACTCGCACATCAGCCCTGCCCCCTCCACGAGGGGGAGAACATTTACTCTATTTGACTTGGGGGGTTCTGCGGTTACAACGAGTTGAAATGCACCAAGTTGTGCGATACAATGGAAATCCTTTTGTGCAGTTAAAAATTGATTCTTAGTGCGCGGCCTTCACATACAATTCCTTTGTGCCAGACTCAGGAGGGGGGGGGGCGACGACGAAGACAAACAAACAACCATTACCAAAACCTGGGGGACCCAAATCGCTGTACTCTTAAGTTAAATGTTTCGCTTAAGTGCAAGCCCCAAACACAAATATCAGCCACCGTTGACCCCAAATAGAGTAGACGACTCAAATCAAGGAATCAGAGGAATCAAGCATGCTTGGAATCCGCAACTCAGCAAGCAAGCAAGCACGCAAGCAAGCAAGCACGCAAGCAAGCAAGCAAGCGAGCAAGCAAGCACGCAGGAATAGGCACAGGCGTAGGCATAGGAGTTAGTGGGAGGCGTAGGCACAGCCACAGCCATAGGAATTAGGGGGGCATAGGAATTGAGGGGGGGGGCAACGGACCAATTAGTAGTAGAGCTTGAGCTGGGACTCCTGTAGTGTAAGCCTATTTGGAGACAAAGCCAACTTGGTAACAAAGAAGTTGTGCTTTCACAGTGTTCACGCATGTACACATTGATTCATGTTGTGTGGCCTTCAATTGACATCCTTTTGTGAGGACTTACGCATTGATTCCTATTGTGTCGGAGACAACTGAAATCTTTTTGTGCAGACCTTCGAATTGATCCCCTGAGCAAGGCGCAAAGGAATTCTATTCGAAGGCCGCACTAGGAATCCATGTGTAAGCCTCCTCACCATCACTGCTTCGCATCGTCGCCATCGTCGTCCTCGTCCTCATCCGAACCCCTAGTAGTAGTGGTAGTAGTAGTCCTCGTCGTAGTAGTAATAGTAGTAGTGATAGTCGTAGTAAGCGAAGTTGTTTTTGTTGTCGTTGTCGTTGTTGTCGTAGTCGTTGTCGTTGTCGTTGTTGTTGTGGCTATTGTTGTTGGTGAAATCTCAGTCTTGAAGAATGATTGCTGTGGATCCCCCCCCCACCGGTGCACACTACGTTTTTCAATTGAAGTGCACCCTATGGGGCTCGCACTTGTGTTCTACGAGGGAAAATCTTCATGCTCACGCTGTGTTGTTGCCCCCTGGCCACAGTAACAGCGGTTCCCGCCTGATACCTCCCCACAAGTTATTCCAAAATCGTGCTCTCGCGCGTGACTTCCTCACAATGTAAGCAGGCATCGTGATCCTGCGTGGGACTTCCGTTCAATTTCTTCACCCGCCGCGCCCTCGACGATCAGGAATCGCGCACTCGCTTTTGTTTGTTTAGCAATTGATTGGGCATCGCGCCATCGCTCGAGAACTTCTTGCGATTCACGCAGTGCTCACACTTCAGCAACCCGCCTGCTCGACCTGGCAGCTTGGGCATGCCTTCCCGACCCGCCCGTTACGGTCTACCCGCCCGTTCAGCCCGCCTTGTTCTGCCACGTGTTCTCTGTTCCTAGCCCCCCTCTGTGAATCTGGCGCTCCATCTCTTTCTCCTTCTCCTTTCCTTCCGTCCTCCTTTGCCTGTTTGTAGGGACTGTGCCCATTACGCGTGGCGAGTAAAGAAGATATACCCCCAACGGGGTACGATCGAGGACGAAGAGGGTGGTAACCGAGGTTTTGCGATATACGTGCTGTGTGGCACGCGAGCGTATCGGAGCGAGCAGTCTTAAAATGATTGTCGCCGATCTATCGCTTTTGAAGGATTATTGTTGTTGACCCCCCCACAGGCGCACATGGTACGTTTAAATTGGAGTGCCCCCCTCGGGGCTCGCACCTGGTTTCCATCAAGGAAAGTATTCGTGTTCAAACTGGGCCCCTGCCCCCCTGGCTACAACAATAACGGCTCCCGCTTGATACCTCTTACAGTTTATTTAGGAATCGCGCTTTGGCGAGGGATTCCTGTACAATGTATGCAGGAATCAAGCTCTTGCGTGGGACGCCCTCGCAATCAGACGCTGCGCCCACGACACTCTGAAATCACAATTTGCTTGGGTATCGCGCTATCGCTCGAGACCTCCCCGCGAGTCATGCAGGACTCACGCTTCAGCAACTCGCCTGCTCGACCTGGCCGCCTGGGTCCGCCTTCCCGACCTGCCCGCTAGGGTCTGTCCGCCCGGTCTGCCCGTCTGGTTTTACCACGTTCTTTCTGCTCCAAGCTCGCCTCCTGCTAATTTCCCTTGTGCTCCATCATTATACATCCCCTTCCATCCGTCCTCGGATCCCCTGTTCTAGTGGCTGCGTTAAATTCACGTGTCAGGCTAGGAAGATATACTTCCAACGGGGTACGACAAGCGGGCGGGTACCGAGGGTTTGGGAGTTCCGTTTTGAATGGCACGCGGGCAGATAGGAGCGAGCAGTCTTAAACGGTGTGTTGCTGTTGTAGTTGTTGCTGTTGCTGTTTGTCTTATGGTTGTTGTTGTTGTTGTTGTTGGTGGTGTTTCTCTTTTCGTCGTTGTTGTTGTTGATTTCCCATGTCAAAAGAATATTTATGATCCCCCCTCCGGCAACTATTGTGTTTCAAGTCAAGTGCTTCTCCTGGGGCTCACACCCTGTTCTTCTACAATGGAAAATGACGGGTCACCAAACTGGGCCCTTGCCCCTCTGTTTACAGCAATAACAGCAACGGCTCCTGTGTGATACTTCCTCAGAAGGCATTCCAAAGTCGCGTTTTCGCGAAGGATTTCTTCCCACTTTATACAGGAAGCGGGCTCTCGCGCGGGACTTCCTCGCAATGTATGCAGATGCTTGGCCCTCGACACTCAGAAACCACGCTCTTGCCTTCTCACGATTTACTTGAGCACCCCACTATCGCTCAAGACATGCTCGCAATTCAGGGTGCATGCTTCAGCAACTCGCCTGCTCGACCTGGCCGCCTTGGCCTGGCTTCCCGACCCGCCCGCTGGGGTCTGTTCGCCCGATATATCCGCTTAGTTTTACCACGTTCTTTCTTCTCCTAGCCCCCCTCCTGCTAATCTCCTCCGTGCTCCATCCTTCTTCCTCCTCATCCCATCCGTCCTGTCTTCTCCTGCTTCAGGGGCGGCGTTACATGCACGTGGCATGTAAGGAAGGTATACTCCCAAGGGGGTACGATCGAAGACAAAGAGGACGGGTACCGAGGGTCTGGGATTGAGGTGTTGAATGTGACGCGAGAAGATAGAAACGATCAGTTTCAAAATTTTGATGTGATGGTCGTAGTAGTTGGTGTAGTACTACCAGTAGTTGTAGTAGTGGTAGTAGTAGTAGTAGTAGTAGTAGTAGTCGTAGTAGTCGTCGTAATAGTAGTAGTAGTAGTAGTAGGAGTAGTAGTAGTAGTAGCAGTAGTAGTAGTAGGAGTAGTAGTAGTAGTAGCAGAAATAGTAGTAACAGTAGTAGCAGTAGTAGTAGTAGTAGTAGTAGTAGTAGTAGTAGTAGTAATCGGGGTAGTCGT